AGTGGCAGGTTCGGTAACAGGTTCGGGAGAAGATTCTGTCGAAGGTTTGGTCGACGGTTCAGTAGAAGGTTTGGTCGAAGGTTCAGTGGAAGGTTCAGTAGCACGTTCGGTAGAAGTTTCTGTCGAAGGTTTGGTCTGAGGTTCAGTGGTAGATTCGCTAGAAGGTTTTGTAGATGGTTCGATAGAAGATTCCGTTGATGGCTTAGCTGAAGGTTTGGTGGAAGTTTCGGTGTGGGGCTTCCACGTAGTACCAGAAGATATACATCCAGCTTTGTTTGGATAGTCACAAACTTGTAGCTTAGGATTGAAGTGCAGTTTATCTCCCTTATTATTCATTATTGGACATTCCATTAATAATTTTTCGCCATGAAAACACTTGTAGAATTTAGTGCAGTCTGACTCGTGCGCCAAATGGACAGTGTTATCGGGGGAATCTTCTTCTGGGCATTCCGTTGGTATTGGTATTATAACAGTGTCACCAGCCATAACTATGGCTAATGCAGACACGAAAGCAGTGGCTACTATATACCATTCTTCTAAAATTATTTAAATACGTTGTAAACAATTATGCACTATCAATTTTGACAATTATTATGAATATGTATATTCTGTTTAAAGAAAGTACGATCGATTCTATTTTACTGTTAATTCAAAATTATCTTACCCTTCATCGTAAGCTTTGAAATTATTTTACTTTTTTGTCGTGTGTATTTTGTCTTCACGAATGCAATTGGAAACTGTCAAGATCAAGTAGCAATGACGACTTTTAAAGATTCGACAAATTCTTATCATTTTTTTCATCATGTATATTTTATACTCTTATCTAATCTACCTGCAAATTTATCATTTTTTCAAATCTCCCTGTTTTTTCTCAGAAAACAAGAAGACGGATGCTCTTACGTTTTTGTATTTGCATTATTTCACATGCACGATACAAAGTAATCGATTAAAGATAAGTGCAAACACAACATATCAAACAATAGCGAAATGATTTTAAATTCTTTCATTAAAATTTGGGAATTAATCTAGCTTAATTCGAGATTGCTTCCTCATATAACAATAACTTATTTTATCAAATGACATTACGAGATGATTTTATGAATTTTTATCGTATATTTCTTATTCACTTGTCTGTAATGTAATCGAAAATAATTAAAAAGTCTTTAGATATCAGCAATAGTCAATATTAAAATATCACGTTTCATAATTGTTTTACTTCTACCCGAATTTACAATTATTTTCTAAATATTTCGATCAAATAAGATATACGATATAGATTTTTTTAAAAAAAAAAAAAAGAAAAAAATTTTAGCTTTAGGAACTTCTTCAATTTTTTCCTGCGTCATCATCATAAAGATCAAATCATTTAAAAGCAAAGTAATTAACTTGCATTGGATCGTTCGATACGAAGATAGATAACGTTCCCGATTATTCGAAAAGTCATATTAATGATAATGAATCATTTTGAATAGCAACAATTTGATAATTGAAATCATATTGATATTTTGAACTTACCAGGGAATAATCAGGTAGACCACTCTCCGATTTTTGTTCAAATTTTGCATACTAGTAATAGTCCACGATAATATTTATTGTGCGTTTGAAAATGAAGTATATATTCAGTCATTTGCGGAAAAACGCGGAAAAAAGGGTACATTTTCAAAAATAATTAAAGTTATATTTGTTACAGAATTTCAAATAACAATGTATATGTCATATTTAAATTTTGTGTGTGCCTTAATAAAATTAGATAAAAGTGGTCGAGTAAAAAAGTAAGACCATGAGATGTATTACAAAGTTTCTGCATTTGTTTGATATTATTTAATTTTTTAAATGCAAAGTGTTAATAATAGGTTCATCGATTAGATCAAATATCTGTTGGGGCATTCGAGTAAATGTTAAAAAAAGCCTCACAGCAACGTTTAGGGCATGAAGAAAGAAGAGGCATTATGCCGAAGAGGTTAAGGCCGAAGAGGCCCCCACTTTAATGTGGTATCAAGTGGGCAACTACACAAACTATTGAGTTAATTTCTAAGGTTCAACAGCAAGTTTGAACTCTTCGAAAATAACTCTTTAGTCATATTTTATATTTTATTATATTGCTGTTTTGCCCGTCATTAATTTGTAGTTGTAATTGGAGATGATGGACCATTCTATCTCCTTGAGACACCAAATTCGTGTCTATATCGTTCAAAATGTGTTGGAGTCAAAAATATTAAAATTTTCGTAATTTTAAACTTTGAAGTTTAAATAACGTTCGGTAAATATCACAATAATTTCTTTTTTCTTGTTTCGTCTTTAAAATTTTTCATTTTTATCGTATTTTATTAAATTAGCAATTTTTCTTTTCTATATAATGCAGCTTTAATGTATTTCATAATAATTATTAGATATTATTTCTTATAGTAACTTAATATTTGTACTTTTCCTATTTCTTTATTTTTATTTATTTTATTTAAATGTAAAATCACGCGTTTAAATTTCATTTTATTGCAACGCGCGGTAATTAGAGGTTTGATAAAAAGTAAATAAAGGATTCAATTGAAAAGTGCATCTGCGAATTGGACGATTTATATGTCAGGCTATTGCATCACTTGATTGTATGATTAATATAGTTTTCTTCTTGTTACAGGTGAACATTGTTGGATTTATCATCTACACGTTTTGATTTTTTTCTACTTGAGTTCCTATAATATGTCTACTTTTTAAAATATATAATATATGTATAAAAGCATTTCTGAAGGCACACACAAAATCTAAATATGACATATACATTGTTATTTGAAATTCTGTAACAAATTTAATTCTAAATATTTTTGAAAATGTACCCTTTTTTCCGTGTTTTTCCGCAAACGTCTGAATATTTACGTCATTTTCAAACGCACAATGAATATTGTCGTGGACTATTACTAGTATGCAAAATTTGAACAAAAATCGGAGAGTGGCCTACCTGACTATTCCCTGGTAAGTTCAAAACATCAATATGATTTGAATTATAAAATTGTAGCTATTCAAAATGATTTATTATCATTAATATGACTTTTCGAATAATCGGGAACGTTATCTTTTATCGTATTTATACATAAGTTTAGAAAACGTGGTGTAACTAGGGTGTCGGAGGTGCTCCGGGGCATGCTATGTAGTTTAGGCTTTTGCACCTGTGTGGTATGTGAGAAAACCATGGTGTGAATTTATTGGTGTGTATGCTTGTTTCTTTTTAAATATGTAGAATAGGCAGGCAGGTATCATACTTTTTTATGCGAATGTGAAAACTTTAATTTAAAGTAGGAATAGAATCTAAGAAAGGCAAAGAACATCCGGGACACACACTATTACATATATGCAAAATTTGAAATAAATCAGAGGTGAATCTATCTGACCAACTCCTGGTTAGTTAGGGTAGTGTCTTTTCGTTATTTAATCGGGAATAATGTTAGAAGGTATGGTGTATAATAACACAGCTTACAATCTCTTTATTCGTAACACATATAACGCTATCGTATCGTGTACACTTCGATTGTTCGCTATAACAAAAATAATTTTAATTATAAATTGATAATAAAATTGTACGATACTTAATAGAATCGAAGATAGATACAACGAACGTATCGCGCTATTTTTTATGCATATGTATATATATATATATATATATATATATATATACATGTTTAATAGGTAAGATAAGTACCTATACATAATTCGAGTTACTACTCACGAGTGTTTTTTTTTTCATCGAATTGACGATATGATAAGATTGTTCTTTTTTTTTTAGCCGTAACATCTCTTGACACTTTAATCATAATGTTTCTACTTTCTTTTTATTATTTCTTTTTTTTCTTAACAAGAGAGAGCAACGATTATTTTATTCATTAAAACGGATGTGTTATTAACGGTTCTGCAAAGACAATGATTTGTCGACAGGAAGTATCTGTCGGATAAAAAACGTAGAAAAATGTGAAATACCTTACTTTACGGTAACATTTCATTGCTTGCACATCGATGTGATTTTTTTTGTTTTTTTTTTTCCTTTTTTTTTTTTATCGCGTCCCCTTTTTCATTGATACAAACAACAGCTGTGGAACCTTTTTTTAATATTTACGAAATACATCGTGTAACTTTTACATTAATATATTTAATATAAAAAGTTTTTAACGCATCTCTTTACGTAATAATATATAATACATCGTCGGATTACAAATTCGTTATTACAATGGGTAAAATATACGACATTTAGTTTTGTCGACACCATTTAAAGGGGGATTAAACGCTATACGATTTCTATTGTTTTTTTTTTTTTTTTTTTTTTCAAACACTGTACTTTGACTAATTACTTAATTAAGCGTAAATATCACTTTGCACTTCGCAATGAGTAGTACAAACATCCGTATTATATATATATATTTATATTTATATTTTTTTTTTTTTAATCGTAACATTTAATACGTATTATTTGTCAATACAGATTGGTACTATGGTAGGAAAATCGAGAGATCGATATATCGATTAACGAATATTAGAAATATTACAAGTGCACTTGTGCGATGTATTCTGCAATGAATGTTTATTCTCCCAATGCAACAAAAATTAATTATTTTTACTTATTTTTATTTCTCTTTGTTCTCTTTTTTTTTTTTTTTTTTCTTTTTTTTTAAATTTCCACTCAATGAGATTTCACATCAGTTCCGGTACTTTTACTATATATATATATATACCGTAAAACGGTTTAATGTTCCGGCAGTGAACGAGCTTTTGCAGACAGCGTATACCGCACCGTCGAATTCGTAATTTATAATATTTACGAATGAAATCGACGAAATATAAAAAAAAAACAACATTATTTAATCATACGATGTTGTGCGAATTATAATAAAATTGGTCATCGATTTAAAGGTAACACGGGAAAATAGATTGTCATTAAGTTGTTTCGATCATCGACGTGTTGCAATATATTAGTAAAATTAAGAACAAATGTATACCATCGTTTTAGGATATGTTTCGTGATTTTTGTTAGTAAGATATTTGTACACTGATATATTGTACACTGTACAAATTATATCGTACATTTATTACGAACACAATGACGAATACCGATCAAATTACGATATATTTTGTTGCAAAATTTAAATGATTCCTGTAAGAATAATAATTTTACAACGAGTTAGAAAGGGGGGGGGGCGGGGAAATTAATAGTTCATTACGAAATAATTATCTATCGAATTAACGATCCAACGTTAACGTTTTCGTAAAAAATGTTTTATCACACATTTTTGTTTTGTTTTTCCTTTTCTTTTTTTTTTTCAGTTGCACGCAAACCCTCGACGCAAAAGTTCTTCGATAATTTTTTGTTCTTATTTCCCTCCCTCCTGCGATTTATCTTGATTTATTGACTTTTTTTTCGTCTTTTATCATTAAATATCCAAAAGTATGGTGATGATTTACGCGTCCATCATAGGAGTGATCGTAGCTGGTGTAAGTTGATGATCGTTCGTAGTATCGTTCGTCATTAATGATATGTTAACACCAGCAGTATTTTCCTGTCGAGAATTTGAACCAATCGTTTTGCTTACCGGTGGAATGTAACTCCACCATGCAAGGAAAAAAAATAGTAGGGATGCAGCTTTGCCAATGAAAGCCAATGCTAGCATGTAACTGTAAACAGAGATGGGAGGAATAATAGATTAGTAAAAGGATTGATCGTTCGAGTTTCTCTTATCTATTTTCTATCTAAGGGTGTATTGGGAATTGGTTCTGTCAAAAGGTCAAACGTTGAACTTTTCCTACATTTTTACGACGACGACGACGACGACGACGACGACGACGATGCATGTAAAGTGATGTAACATGTTCGGTTTTTACGTTCTTTCCTCGAGAGTGTTATAAAACTAGTAAGTACTTCAACGAAATCAAATGGGAAAAATATATATTTACCGTGTTAGATATACCGAATGACATTTCGGTAAACCTATTTCGGGATTAAATAAAGTTTTTGTTCGAATATGTTAGAAAAAAACATTACCTGCTCATGTAATAATTATCGTAGACGAGACATGCTCCTCTTCCGTCGCAATTTTCTTGCCATAATATGCAAGTTTCATCGATTAATGCACCGAATACCATTGGTGCAGGTATCGTGCCTAAAATTCGAACCTTTATCCATTGTATCCCAAGTGCGAATGATCTCTGATCGTCACGTACGACTCTTAGGGTAGACGACAAAGCTGGCATCGTACAAAGAAATGTAACGAACATGTTACAAAATGCGAGTACGACGAATAACCAAAGATATGAACACGTGCTAGTACACGTAGTGTTGATTGCTTCGTAAGTGATGTTCTCGTTGCTGACAAAAGTCGTCCAATTTTTGCCAGTAGATTGTATGCAACTACAATCTGCGTACACCTATGTAATTTGTAATAATTATCTTTTTATTTTTTTTTTTTTCAATTTGACATCAAAAGTTGTAAATAATATTAGGATGAATCCAAAAAGTTCGCGTGCGTTGTATCGCGTTGAAACTTTATCTTGAAACTGCATAATGAATTGTTCTTCTTTTCTTTTTTTTTTTTTGTAAAATTTATTTTGGAAATAATACCAAAAACAAAAAAAAAATGAAAACCTCGCGAACTTTTGTTTCATCGTAACGCGATTCGATCTTTTGGTTCATATTATTATCTCAGAGAATTAAAAATATAATATAATATAATATTAATTTTTGTATATTACTTTGACGTCGTTCATCAATATTTCTTGATAACATCCAGCGTGGCAGGGCGAATAATAAGTAACACCGTCGATACCGCAAATAGGATTAAATTCCGATCTGGAACATCCGCAGGCACTGTTGCAAGTATCTTCCAGGGATAACGATTTTCTGAAATGTAGTAGGTTATACATAATATTTTATTTCTAATTTTATAAAAAGAAAATTATTAAAAATACAGAAAAAAAGAATGTGTTATTTCGAAGAGAGATATATATAACGCGACCTGAATTAATTAAAGGGGGGGTGGGGGGTTCCTCCTTCTTCTCATCATCACCCTGGGAATGATTTTATTTCAAGTATCTCTTGCGAACGATTAATGAAAACGACAAACACCTCCCTTATCTCTCTCTTACGTACGTCGTAGTAAATCTTAATCGAATTTTTGACGTTGAGATCCAATAATCGGTGTATTTTATTTAAAAGGTCGCGTCGTCGCGATTTTCTCTTGAAATGGGACGGTTGGTAAGAGGAGTAAGAGGGGGAGGGGGTCTCCTCCGAAATCGATTTTATAACGACGACCCTCTCTCTTTCTCTCTCTCTCTGTGCGCGCCATTCCGGAAAATTTGATGCGATGTTTTACTTTTAGCATAGCGGATAAATAAAATTACGTTGATGTTCGAATGAGGGTGGGTGGGTGAGAGGTCGGTGCGGGACGTGGGACGACGGACAGAAAAAATTTTCACGGTCTGAAAACGACTGGACCTAATCGAATGAATTACATTACATATTTCGATCTAACGTGAGAAAAATCTTTCAAAAATAACAAAAATATAACGCGTTATTATAAATAATTAATAAAAGTCGAATTCTTCGATCGATTGAAATGATTATATTTTGTTTGTTTTTTTTTTTTTTCTTTTTTTTTTTCTAAAAGTTTTCACAAATAATTTCAAAGGATACTTACTTCGTGATAGAATGATAGGGTACGGTGAGTCCGGCAAAATTCAAATTAGGGCAACTCAATGCGAAACAAAGGGTGAAGATTATACAAGCTGCCGTTGAGAATAAACAAAATTTCAATATACCGGAACAAGACAAATTTAAACGTTTTATCAAATAACCACCGAGGAACGTGCCACCACCGCCAGCGGGTACCGTCACCAATCCTGAAACAAAGGACGAGAAGGACTGTCGTTTAATAAACGGAGTAAAAACGTCGGATCCCTTCTTCTCTCATCTTTCTCTTTCTCTCTCTCTCTTTTATTTTTTTTTTTTGCCTTTGACAACCGGGGTGGTGATCAAGGTAGAAGGTAGAGAGAGAGAGAGAGAGAGAGAGAGAGAGAGAACAAAAAAAACCATGAGAGTTATAATAGCGTTTTGATCGGTCGTCTCGATATAAAAATTGCTGTGCTTTTGCAGTTGACGCGTTTTGGCCGAAAGGACTAACGGGGAGGATCGTGCTGCAAATGTTGCGCGTTCCACTTTTTTTTATGGGGACGGGGGGACGAAGGAGGAGGGAAAGTGGGGAGGGGAGAAAGGAAAAAAGGTAACTGCAAAGAAAAAAAAAAATGTATTCACCCATCAATAACGCGGCTGAACTGGCGCTGACGCTAAATTGATTTTCGATCAGTTTAGGTAGGAAAGCAGCGAAACCGGCTATAAGCAAGCCCTCGCTAGCACCGGCCAAATTCAACATGAAGAACGCAGGATTGGTTAACAATTCCGTCATGGCACGCGGTAATTCGCGGATTTTCGAAAAGGCCTCACCCCCGGGTTCCCTTGCCGAGGATTTGTTAGGTTTGGCGTGTGCCTCTGATACCCTTTCTTTGGCCAATTCTTCCGAACCTGTAAAAAAGGCAAAATCTCAAATCGAAAATGTCGCGTACGTATTGTTACGGATTACTTTTTTTCTGTTTCTTTTCTTTTTTCTTTTTACGAGGATCACTCTTTTGCCGATTCGCGTCATTGAAGATAAATTACCAGTTAGATACGATCGAATTATTTCGTAATCGAGATGATAGAGATAGAATTGTAAACAAAAAGAAAAAGACACACATATATAGATCGGTAAAAAGTGATCCTCCTTGTTGTTGTATAAAATTGTTTGGTGGAAATATTTGTCGTCGTACCAGGTAAAGCTGCAGGAAATGCCAGAAGCGGTATCGCGATAACAAAGCAAATAACTGCAGCTGCCAGAAAACCTATCCACCATGCTCCTACCCAAACGTTGCTATCCGGAGTTAATCCGATTCTGCAATCATATGATTTTTGTTCTTTTTTTGTTTTTTCATTTTTTTTTTACTTTGCTGCTGTGTTTCTATTCGTGTCTCTGTGTGTGTGTGTGTGTGTGTGTAGGTGTTTCTGTGGTACTGATTGTGAGTGTTTTTGTTTCCCTTTTTGTACATTTTTTCCTTTCCACAAAATCCTTCGTTTTACATCGGGTCGGGATACCAATAGGGGATTACAGGATTTTAGAGGACATTTACAGGAAAATGGAAGGAGGAGAAAGAAGAGAAAGAGGAGGAGGAAGAGGTGGAGGAGGAGAATGATAAGGACGAAAAAGGAGTAATCGATAAATCGTAGCCGTATAGGCAAAGAACACATTTCCTGCCGTTTGAGTTTCGCTTGGCTTCTCCAACTAATTACTATGAACAGAAGCTACGCACTCTCTGTGATCTCTTCCATTGACAAAGAAATGGAAAGGAAGAGAGAGAAATAAAACATAGAAAGAGAGAAAGAAAGAGAAAGAGGGAGATCTTGTTATTTATTTCGATACCAGTCGAATTTCTTTATAAGTTCTCTCGATAATTTAGCCTCCCGATAAGATCCTAGCAATTTTCTGTAACCGTAATTACTATCATTCTTTATAATATACCTTTATTTTTTTCTTTTTATTCTTCTTTTTCTTCTGTTACTTACTTCTTTTTCCCTTTTCTTCTGCCGTTCACCGTATTATTTTTTCCCCGTACATCACGGGTAAGAAAGAGTGGGGACTATTACGTTGAAATTCTAATACACGAGAGACAGTGTAATACGAAAGTAGAGAAAATACAGGAAAACTAGGAGAGTATCCAAGGATAAGTCCTGCAAGAATGCTCGAAGGCTTCGAATACGTTGCTGTTACTGTTGGCCCAGTAATACTACGAAAGGGATACCCACCACCCACTTCCCTCTCCCCCTTCCCCCATCTGTTAAAGTTCCCGTGAAACTTTTCATTTGCCTGCGAAATTAAACGTGGCAACCTACACTTAACGATAGCCACGAGAAAAAGGGTATTATGCTCCTTTTGTACCAAGAGTTTCTTCATTTCCATCATCATCCCCTTTTAACCTCCCCTCCCTTCCCCCCTTAACCCTTCGATATACCTTTTGTACCTTTTCTTCCTTGGCCACCGTTTTCAAGAAATATCAAAGTATGTATTTCGTTGTTGTTGTTGTTTTTTTGCGGATTACGTTTTCGTCACGGTTGAATATGTTTTTCTTTTTTTCTTCTTTTTTTATCTTGTTCTCATTTTTCGTTAAATAATATCGGAAAACACGGGAATGAAAAATAACCGAATGATCTATTTCACGTTGAATTATTTGTGTATAACTTTTCGGTAATTTTAGTTGGAAACTTTCCAATTTGAGCTACTTAAAGATGTAAGATTTTTACGATACACATATATATATATATATATATATATCGTGCCAGAAATATCTTAACCGGTGAACGTATTAGAATTTTTTTTTTTTTTTCAAACAAGAATTTTAAATCTTTTATTTTCGCTAAAACCACGCAAGCAAGTTGATCGATCGTTTTGTGAAAGTATTCGATCATTTTTTTAACTAATTTTGTTTGCGTAATAATCTTATATTTAGACAAGTTTCCAAGGTTATGACGTTACTTTTCATCTAATAATATTATTATAATAATAATAATAATAATAATGCAATAAGACAATTCAGTTGAACGTTGATCCTTTGCACCATCTGTATATTCGCGTATTTAATACGAGTTTCTTTCATTTAACTTCACCATACTACAGAGTTTTATTTCCTATCACCAGCCGTGCGTTTAATTATGCAGCTTGCGAAATTTACGTTCGGCAAGCAACAGCTTGTCCTGTCTTGCATTCTCGTGCAATTTTTCTCATTTAAAATTGTACGCTTCGATTGATATATAATATAATGTATTTATATATATATATATATATATATATATATATATATATCTTTCCTTTCGTACTATTTATTTATGTATTTATTACCAATATTTTATTGGATNATTATTTTATACATTATAAATATATATATTAAACTAGTTTATTCCGATCGTATAACAATATCAAAATAATTGAAATTGTATATTGATTTACCAAACGTATTATTTTCAAATTGGTCCTATTATTACGTTCGAGTATTTTCAACAACGAAAATATATTGTCCGAATACTTTCAGTTTAAAATCGAACATTTCATACTTTAATGAACTAATATATGAGATATATAAATCTGTTCAGGTTATTTAACAAATAATTCATTAATATTCATTCAATCCGTGAAAAAAATATTCCCACGAGTGTGTCTATTCAATTATGTCAGAAAAAATGTCTTTCAGTCACGTGTGATATTCAAAAATTTCATCACCACCGAATATCGGTTTCATATCGGCACACAAAATTATACGCAAATTTTGAGAAATTTAATTAACTTAAGTATTAGAAAAATTCTTTATAATCTAGATATTATATATCGTTTTTCTTATTTAATTTTTCTTTTTAAGATATAATATCATTTATATCGTATCTATCGAATTAAATGGATCCAAAAGTTATCAAATTAATCAACATTCCCCCCGTGTATTATATATTTATCATTTTACGATAAATAAAATAATTCATCCGTTTCCGTTTATAATATAAAAAATGAAAAATTTCGAATTTTTGTTAAGAAGAAAATTAATGTTGCCTGATGATTCGCGAAGTTAAATATCAACACAAAGAGAAAAACAACTAATACACCCGTCTAGTAACCTCGGTTAAAAACTTTTTCAAATTCGTTCATAGGTAGAGTTTCCTGTTTTCCCTAGAACTATATAGATATGTAGGTGTACGTATATATATATACGATTTCACAAACGTAAAACTACGAAATAATCTGTCGAGAACTATGGCACTTTAAGCATTTTCATTTCGGCCCTCGTTCAGACTACTTTTTTGTTCTTTCTTTTTTTTTTTTCATCCTAGAGTCTTTTTCATCTTTCCCAATTCTCTTGGCCATTCTATATCATCGCGGTACTTTTCTATTCTCTTTTTTTTTTTTCTATTCTTATTTTGTCTTTTCTCACCCGTCAGTACTCCTCCCTCCCCCAGTTAGTATCCATCCATTTTATCATCTTTACCATAATAATTTCTTGCTTGAAAAGTTTTCCAACGTAGACAACGGTGAAACTCTCGGACTGGAACTTCAGAACTTATTAGAATCAACGAGATTTACGATGGATCCTTCACACATACCAATTTCTCATTCCCAACTATAGTATTATAATTTATATATCGTGAAAAAAATTTGACTATTTAATATTTCAAAAAAAAAAAAAGAAAAAGATACGAGACGGAAAGAATTTTTGTGTTCTCTTATTTTGTAATCAATAATATTCCTTTTTTTTTATATACTTCCTCGTTTTTTATCGTAGAAAAGATTATCTTGATCGTATGCACGAATGTTTATACATTACGGATGTTATTATATTTTATTTATTTTTCTTTTTTTGTTTTTTTTTTTTTTTTTTATATCCGCGACAACATCGATATGTTTTATTGTCGAAAAAAATTCGTATTGCAAAAAATATCTTAATCTTATCTGAGCTCTCATCGAAAAGATCTAATCAATGGTATTAGGAAATAAATATTGAAATATTATTTTTTTTAACGCGGTTATAAACGTTAATCTTTGAAGTTGTTTTAAATAGAAATTTCAACGAGAAATAATAAATATGACATTCGGTGATACGTTATCGACAAATTATGCTACGTTATTTTTTATTTGTTCGTTTCGTTTTCTCTCAATAATTTTTCCTTCCCAATACGCGAATTATATTATCGTCAATGACAATTTGTTCAAAATTTTCACAAGAATAATCAATTTTCTATTTTTCTTTTTTCTTATATAATAAACATTTTGTGTGTGTTCAAATTTAGAATTTTAATAATAAAACGAAAATCCGATTCTACGGATACGTAGGATTGTTACAATTCAAATCAAAATTATTGTGTGTATTGTATAAAAATTAATAAGTAAAAAAAAGAAAGAGATAGAAAGTTGAAATTGTAGGTACACATACATAGAAATACGAGTACATATATATACATATACCTAACTTCACGTTTTATAAACGATATTTATAATACATGTCGGAAATCCTTTGAAGCAAGGAATAAAACGATTCACAGCACGTGGCTTCTGTAAACGTTCGTCTTTCAATGATTCGTTGCTAGAATGTATTTCAAAGAAAACCAACACCACCACCACCACCACCAACCACCAACACCAATTGTCGTCGACCCTTCCACTCGCGCGGTTACCGTTCTTTAATAAATATTTTGAAAAAATAATTTCATTCGGCTAGGTTCACAATTTCACATTCGTTTATATTTCGTAAATAGTATTTCGCGTGATTTAATATTTCAACGTGATATAAATAAAACTAATCACGAAAGTTTCTATCAAAGCCAAGAACAGTTAGAATTTTTTTCGTACTTAAGATATTCGCAATTTTTACGATATCTTTAAAAATAATTACAAGAAACTTACAAGGACTCGTGAAAAACTGTTCAAATTTTCCCATAACGTTAGATTTCATGAACTATTACGTTAGATAATTTTTACGATTATTCGTTCGAATTTTACTTAATAATACGAAGAAGAGTTGAAAAGATAAAAGAAATAAAGAAAAGGGGGGGGGGCCACGTTGTCGGCAAACGAGTGACCATTAATTCAATTCTCACGAAACATCGTGTTAGAGTGACTCAACGATAACGTCGAGTGAAATGGCGGGAAATAGAAGGAAGGAAGGAAGGAAAAAAGAAGAAGAGAGAAAAAAAATTTAGGGGTGGAGGGGGAGTTAGAGGGTGGTAGTTGGGGGTGAGAGAAGAGACGATTCGAAGGGGTTTCGATGAAGGGCTAAACGAGGAGGAGTACGGGGTAGTCGAATAGACAAATGGAACTTGATTGTGCCCTAAGTGTCGGGGGGGATGAACTGACAGTTTTGAAGGGTAACATCGCCGTCATCGTCAAACATTGGCTCACCGCTTGACATTTTCCCCATGGGGATATATATCCATGGGATTACATGCACTATTAATCTCGGCCCATTATACGCTCTAATGGTCCTAAGGGATATTTATAACGGTGCGATTCTCACGTCACGGTCGTGTCTTTGCATTTTTAGAACGTTATCTGACGGCAACGTTAAAGATTCCACAACCAACCAACACCCACCCGTCCGTCCAATCGCATGCCAAGGACCCAATTTTCATTTTTGTGTTTTTTATTAATAAAGATTTTTCAATCGATAACATTTTTAATTTTGTTGCTATTGTCGTTTGCATTGATTATATTTTCATCTAAACGATTAATAATTAATAATAATATATTGTAATTACATTTTTTAATAAGATTGAATATTATTATCCTCTCGATAAAGAATTTTCTCATTCGTAACCATGAAACAGGTGTGTGTGTTAGCGTGATTCTCCCCTTCTCCTCAAAATAACCGAATTAATGTGCTCAAAATATTCGTTGTATTTGCGTACCACCACAGTTCCGGTGGTAGTGATGGTGGTGGTTATGGTTGTTTTGTTACTACATTCGTTCGTTGAAATATTCGACACTTTTGCAGCACGTGTATCTTCCGTCTCGTTTTATCCCGTTCGCGTTTAAAAGTTGATATGGAAGAGTTGACGGTAAACGCTCACGTATGGGGATTGGCTGGTGCATTCTGTTACGCGAGAACGGATAGATCGAAACGAACTGCCGATAAATCCTCGAGAGAATTTAATAAAGTTGCCCTGTCGTCCGACTAAACATACCTCCTAGCAGCTTTGGAACTGCTAAAGAACGCGGAAAACGTTTATCGTGGCAACTGGAGGTGACAAATATCGATGGAACATCTATCTCGGTTACACCTATCTGTTTTTCTCTTTCTCCCTAATTCTATCTCTTTTTATTTACTTTATTTTTTTTTTTCTTATCTTTCTCTCAGATATTGTGCAAACTATTATTAGCTAGATATTAGATGGGGATTCTATCTAATGAGAAATTATTTAATACTTTAACATATTAAACAAATAAATTTAAAAAAAAATCTTCTGTTATAATAT